TATATATAATTAAACGTGTTTATCGTGTAAAATACATATAAATATTTCAAGTAGCTGTGAGTGACGTCAAGTCAAATGGTCCATAGACCTATAATATTGACTTACACAGTTACAAGGGATGAAAAAAAGAGGGTCTCGAGAGCCCATATATATATGCTGTACAGATACATCTTATCGGAAACTCTGGACTCAACGATCGCGCTGATGGAAAGGCGTTACGGAAAATTAGCCGTCCTCCGTCCAGACTCGAGTGGAACGCAATACTTTTTCAGATGGACTCGAGCGAGAAAAATTATAAGATTGGAGCTTTAAATTTTTTCTCAAACCTTATCAGCTCCACGCGTGTTCCGCACTAGTGAGAACGGCTGATTAGATTTCGTTACGTTTTGTTTACGAGCTCCGTGAAAAAGTTACGTCACGGACAACATTTCTTGCTTTTAATCTTCCAACGACAAACAAAAATATGCGCAAAAAAAAAATCACTTCTCCTAGTTGGTGCACCGAAGACGAATACATTATAAATGAAAAAAAAAAAATCGATTCACGAAACTGCATATAGTGACTTCATGGTCAAAAACCCTTTATAATACACTCCAATACAGTAGTATAACATTGCAAAGCACGCATATATATATACAGGGAGGCCCGTTGTAGTCGGGGACCGCTGACCGTATACCGCGAGATAACAACTCGCCGACCCGTTGCATGCATCTGTGCTCCCGAATGAATACAGCCTCTGTGGTACCCGTAAACGCGAAACCTTGATGTATGTGCGTAAAGTCATCAGGATGAGGAGGAGGAGGAGGAGGCCCTTTTCCCTTTTACGCTCGTAAGAGTTGTATGTGTGCGCGCATCGCCTCGAGACGGATGGAGGTGAACGCAAAAGAGAAGGAAGGAGGCCCCGAGGATAATTTACATCGGTGCAGTGTGTGTGTAGCGATTAATGGGCGCGACTGGGCTTATACTTGGTCCTTCTTGGGCGGCTTTGACGTTCTGGAAATCGAGTTGAGGGATATATTATAATAAACGTGGCTTCCGGGTGTTTTGGCCTCGGGTCACTGATTCAGCCAGTCTGATGGATACGCTTCTTTTGTAGGTTTACCATGAATTTTTCTTTTTTTTTTTTTTCCCCCAACTTATTGATGATTATGTGGTTTTTTTTAGGATAATTATTTTCATTGGGTACCGATGAATCCATACTTTCTGTAGACAATTGAATTTTTGCGAACGATTTATGAAAAAAAAAAAAACAGTGATATTGTCAGGCCCCTCGATTACCATTTTAACACTTAATCGAAGAAAAATTTACTTAATTGTAAACAAAATATTTACTTGTCTGCCATCTGAAAATTTGAATATAAATGTCTAAGGAAAAATACTTTTTTTTTTTTACGTTTACCCTAAATAAATCGTTGTTTATATTTCGCATTCTTCAACAAGTATCTCGACCTTGAAAAGAAAGAGGCTGGGTTTCATCGGTGTTTTCAATGTTCACTTCAACGCTTTAAACAAATAATGTACGTTTGTATGGTATGAATTGTGCTGAGTGGGTGGGATACAAAGAAGGTAAAATCAATTGAAACAGAAAAAAAAAAAAAAAAAGAAGAATTTTAAAGGTAAACATTTCTAAATCTGAGGCTGCGACTCGTCATCGGTTTGCGTAACGAGCTTTTGTAACGTAATTTTAAAATATTCAACGAGCCATGCCTAAGAGGCTCCACACCATTTTACCGCACTGCATCAACGGTGCATTCGCGACAGAAACTATAGGATCCGAGCACCGCAATGGGACCACTAATGCACTGCACTCGACACCATTGCCATCGCTGACTTACGTTTGTACAATCGCAATCCTATTGTATAACTCGTGTCCACTTATATTACTATATAGCACATAATAATTAATTTCCACCCATACAGGTATCTCGTTTACCGCGAAAAAGAGCCGGTACAACCGTCGAGAAAACCCAAGTATGGCAATATTAAGCAACGAAGAGCAAACAATTGTGCATGGCCTCTGCAGTTAATAGGTAAACTCATAAGTAAAGTGCAAGTGCAAACCAGCGATAATCAACGTACGTCTCGAAATCCTTGCCAAGATGCAATACCGATTTTTTTTTTTTTTTTTTTTTTTTGTTACAACAATAAACGAATCGTACAGGGTAAATATGTATTATGGCGTCTTTGTTTGTGCAAATATCCACCGATCAGTAACTATACTTGTGATAAACATTGTAATCGCGATCTATAGCGCGAAGCGAAGCGAAAAAAAAAAAAAAAAAAACCACGGCAACTTTAACAACAAAAACACAAAAGTCTCGTAAATAGTGTGTACACGAGGCGGTGTAATCGCTTAGATAATACCTACGCTCTCGAAGGGGGAAAACAAGGCCTTAGACTCTGTACCCTATTCGTAATGTGCTGCTCGGCGAGAGTGTGTACGTACAAAACAACCTCAACACGTACCGAGAGCGAGAGCATCGGCCGTGCCGTCGAGTTTTACGGGAAAGAAATTTTTTTTTTCCCCTTCATTTTCGCTGCAGTTGAAATCTAAGTAACGTACATCACAATATACGGATGGCCACCGAAAACGAGGTTGGGGTGAGAAAAATCAGGATATGATATCCTCAACGTGACGTTATTATTCTCGCGGGCAAAATAAAAATAGAGAAGCTCTCGAGGATAAGATAGAGAGACAGGGGGTGGGGAGCTTGGCGAGCTGCAGATAAACGTTGATGTATACGTTGCTCTGATGTGTTTTGTATATGCACCATCGATCCAATAAACCGTTAACGCTCTTTTAATGGGCTCTTCTCTATATCCCACTAATATTATCTGCTCGGTAATTTTGGCGATCCTCGTTTTCATGGCTATAAATTCGTTGGGTTCGATTTCACGGGAGGGTGCAACGATGCAACGCAATAATTTGGGATTTGCCGGGTTAAAGGCACTATAATATACAGGCTCGATCGAATCGTCACTCATACTGTTTCGTGATTGGGGTGTTTCATTCATTACTTTGGTCCACACGACATTTTTCCATAGGCATATGATACACAAATGCAAAATATACAATATGCTGTTATTAGAAAATTCAAATTATCATTGACAATTAAAATCATGTACATGAAAAAGCACGCACGTCCCAGGGAAATCAGGTACAACATTCGAGTTTGGGGTATATTCATAATGACGAAAGTTAAAATTTTCAATCTATCGTGAAAAGACAGTTCCTTCCGATAAAAGGACCAAAAGATTCAACTACTCACACACAGCAAGAGGGTACATCGTTTCGGTACGGCTATGTGTGTATATATATGGCACAGCATTTGCATTTGTAGGGCAGGCAAGGTGAAATCTAACTGGCCCTAGACACGCGATGCACGACCCTGGGTGGGTATGATAATGCAAGTGTTTTCGTTCGTACATATATATTTATATACGTGGTACGTGAACCTGGACGACCTTTTTATTCGCCATACATACGGTGCGTGATGCATGCATTACGTTTGTACACAAATTTATAGACATTAAAAAAAAAAAAAAAAAAAAAAAACGGCCGTACTATTGCTTTTTTTTTTTCTCTCTGTCTCCTCTCCAACAAATGAAATTTAAGAGTGCGACACAAGGGGTCTTGCACGCTTTTCAGAGCTTACATGCATACTTATAATCTATATGCACCAGAAAGCGTAGCTTGCTCTTTTCGGAAGAGGAGAAACACGTGAGAGGGAAACGAGAAAGCGGGGGAGTAGTGCTTCCACCCGAGTGTTTGCTCACGTGGACAAGAATAACAATCGAACGATTGGCCCGAGAGCCAACCCTCTTTTTTTTTTTTTTTACTTATCCCTTCGTGCGAGTGGTGCTTACGGGCTCACCAAATAAACCGCGCGGTGAATCTCTAAATCCATATCATCACAAATATATAAATATATATATGTCCATGTGTGTGTCCCCTTGGTCTATCTATAATACATCTTCGGACTACTCCTCTTGTGGCATATATGGTACGTATCGTTTAGAAGAGAGTGCACCTCTTATGACGTTTCACGTGTATATCCTACATGTACACTCGAAGAGATTTTTTTTTTTTAACCCTTTTCTGACTCTCTCTCTCTCTCTCTCTCTCTCTTCCTTCCTTCTTCCGAAAACTAGCGAGTGAAGCAACGATTGAATTTCCGACTAAACGCTTGCCTATTCACGGACCTTCCCTAATATTATACTTGCAGTGCCAAAACGAGATCCGTATACTTAGAAAGTGTATTTGAAACCAGGAATTGTGGCAATTTTGGCTTTGCAAGCCAAGAAATTATGATAAAAAACTGCATTGGTTCTGGTACCGTTCGATAATCCATTTCAAGGATGTTTATTTGTAGTAGTATGGAAGTAAAAAAATTATTGTAAACATAAGTAGTTTGAAAAGACAAAAAACTTGGATTGGGTATCGATGGTATGAGAACATGCAAAATAATAATTATTCGATCAGTATCGGTATGATGGGGGATAAACGTCACTTTGCAAATTCGCGCGAGGATGAATACATTTATTTGGAAAACTCGTGGAGGGACTTTGTTAACTGAAGATACGGATCAAGAAATCGAGACCTGAAAATCCAATGTGGTTTTTTACAATGGCCCACTCACCTGCCCAATCGCGAGGGTCTTCCACTACGCGTGTGGGTGCCAAAATGTCACGTGGGTTTAGTTTCAGGATTTCCCCTGTCGGGAGCGCTGACGGGACTGTTGCCACAGCACTTGCCCGTGGATTCGTCGTCAACGCAACAGGAGCATACAGCCTCGGCACCGGGATGGGGTCAGCATCAGGGCTCCGACGTGGCGCACATAGTCGACTGCCTCAACCAGCCCCACATATGCGGCGAGGCCGCCTGCCAGGAGGAGGACAACTACACGTCCCGGTGCATTTGCCCGCACGACAAGTCACCGCCCACTGCCGATCTCAAGTGTCCCAATCGCATTATCGGTTAGCACAAGCGGACGCGTCCATACCTATATACATACATATATATATATACGCATCTCCTTTTGTGTACTTTTCATTTATCCAACGTTTCGTTGCAGTACCTCTCACCCCGAGACCCATTTACGACATCATACCGCCGAGTATGAATGTAACCAACGCCACGACGGCCACTCCGGAAACTGAACAGGTAACAATATAGTTGTTGCAGCCGTATGTACTTGTTTCCGAAAACATTTCGAGAAAACATCCAGAGAAGCTGAAAAAAAAAAAAAAAAAAAAAGACTCTTTGCTCCAATGTGCACTTGAGTCAACAACTTTTTGTCAATTTGCTGAATCTCGTTATATTACATTATACCATAGGAATATTTTCGGAAAGGCAAATACAAGTTTGTGCGATTGAACAACGGCAAACAAAATTTGCAGATCGAAACGCTGGAAACGAGATCAGCCGAGGTCACCGTCCTTCTGATAGGCAGCGCTTTCGTCCTGACGTTCATCATCGGTTTGATAATGTTCTACTTCAGACGGCGCAGTTTCAGCACAAAGTCGACCAACGGCGATCTCGAAGTATAAAAATTATTGATGACCAAACGCTATATACACACGATCAATCATCACATACACGCGCGCGTTCGCGGTGGTACAGCTGCAGTTGATGTACAATGAACACGCGCGCTCATGAGCAACTCCCTTATAATATATGTATATATTGTTGCGAAATCAATCACTATTTTGCCTGCCGCTGCTGCTACTCGACATTAAAATTAATACACGCCTCGGTGCGCTTTTTCTCGCCCTCCCTATTATCGTCATCATTTTATTGTTTACACGCGAGCTGCATGATGCGTCCAACGTGCGTGCACCGAATGATAAAATTCTATGTAGGTAATATATACATATATTTTTTTTTTTTCCTTTCCACGACTATCGCAAAGGATTTTATTATTAGAGGAGGGGGAGGAGGGAGTTTTTATTTGAACAACTCGTAGGCGCGTTTACACCAGAGTCTCATGGATGAATGAGGTTTCAGGCGTCGCCGATGAGCTTGAAGGAGAGTCTCCTGTTGGCCAACAAGTACGCCCCGAATCCACAGTACTTTACGTGCGCGTCGCCGGACGTGCCGATACTGCAGAGAAACTCGCTCGTTTTTCTCAAAGACATCGGCGAAGGATGCTTCGGGAAGGTTTTCAAAGGCAAGTGCGGCAATGTTCATAATTCATAATAATCCATAGACATAACTTACGAGTAAAAGCACACTTTGGTTCGGGATATGAGGAAAGGTGTGTGCTAACTTATTGCAAAATAAATCGTACTTTTTTTTTTCAAACTTGTAATGACTTGTTTAATTCGTGCAAAACAATTTGAAGCTTTACAAGCTTTTCCACAAATAAAGATAATAATAAATGCTGTACAAGTTTTCTTTCTAGTTTAGGATATGGGTCTTTGGCACAAAAATAAAGCTATTTTTCGTGCTACGTACACTGAGCAAAATGTTAAATAAAATGTACATCCCGGTAAATAAATAAATTGCGCAAGCTAATGATCACTCTGCCAATATGATAGATAATACCGATAGAGTGACCATGAGCTGGTGTATTTTTTGTTCAGTTTTACATTTTTAGCTTGAGGACAATAATTTATGTTAAAAATAAGTACCTACTTTGTGAATAAGTAATATATCGATCTAATGCCCATTGTTTATTTCTATGAACATCATCATCTACTTACAGGTGAACTGGTCTACGAGGACAAGACCGAAGTGGTGGCGATAAAGGTATTGAAGTCGTCGGCCAACAAGGAAGCGGAGGAGGATTTTATGCGCGAGGTGGAGACTATGTCGACCTTCCGTCACGAGAACATCCTGTCCCTGCTGGGCGTAGTGGGGCGCGACGAGACCAACGGGCCATGGATGATCTTCGAGTACATGCCCCACGGCGACCTCGCCCAGGTACTCCGCGACAGCGCCCCCAACGTCCGCACCCCCGTACTCCAGCCCCTCACGAAGGTATACCCTTTTGTTTTCCTTCCCCGTCCCTCCAAACGATTAACGTTTTAATGCCAACCGCCAACGTAATATATACAGGACTCCCTGCTGTGGATAACGACTCAGATAGCCTCCGGAATGGCGTACCTCGCGGCCCAGAGGTTCGTCCATCGAGATCTCGCCTGTCGCAATTGCCTGGTCGGTGACGACCTCGTCGTCAAAATCGCCGATTTCGGCATGAGCAGGGACGTCTACACCTGCGACTACTACAGGGTATAAATACTTTCATCATAACACCTGCATTTATATTATAACTGTCTCACGAATACCCACCCCCCCCCTCTCCCCCGACCCCTTTGTATATGCCATTTCATAAACATCATGCACAAGTGGTTGTTGTTGTTGTTGTTACTTTCGACACTTCATCACTGTCAAAAAAAAATTAATACATTATCTTCACGACCAGTTGAATAATTTGCAGATAGGGGGCTCGCGTATGCTACCGATACGCTGGATGGCGCCCGAGAGTGTGGTCTACGGTAGGTTCACCCTCGAGAGCGACATCTACAGTTTCGGGGTCTTGCTCTGGGAGGTCTACACCTTTGGCAAGCAGCCCTACTACGGGCACAGCAACGAGGAGGTACGTGATTATTATTTCTTTTTTTTTTTTTTTTTCTCTTCGATATTTGACACAAGTTAACCTATACACCGCACAAGGTATTGAAAAACTATAACTTTGTGTTTCCCGGCGATAAAGTCGGTGCAGCTTATCATGGACGGTATCCAGTTGGTGCCGCCCGACGATTGTCCGGCTTTCGTCTGCCAGTTGATGCGCGACTGCTGGAGGGAGCCGCGCGACCGGCCGGCCTTTGCCGAGATAATCGAGCGTCTGCGAGTGAGCGACAAAGTCGACGTCAACAGCGCCATCATCGGTACCCTGCCCCGGCCGCCCCAGGGCCCGGTGACCATACGTACCCCGGGGCTGCTCGATGCCGATGGCTACTTGTTGCCCTCGCCAGTCGCGACGCGCGAGTACATCGAAGCTATTCCCCTTTGATACTACAATAACACCGCACGAGTGTGATCTTTTGTGCAGGTTGTGTGGGAGAGTGCTGCTTGTGGAAGTGTTTTTTTTTTCTTTTCATCAGAGGTACATCAGTTGGAATTGCAGGGGTGTGCTGTCTACGATAATTGTTTCGAATTTCCATGAGAATCTCACGGTTTTTCTTTTTTCGATGGCTATTTAATCTATATAACATGTGCGGTAACGTATCTCATGATGTATAATGACAATTACAATTTACGACCGAAAGATCTGTACAGCGTTTATATGCATATGTACAAGAATGAAAGTCGATGGTGTTTCGAGCTTTATAAAAACGAATAGTATCCATTTTTTTTTATCATCACAATTTTTGTATACTCAGACAATACTGGGGCGAATAGTTCTGAATGTACGATACATACTTATAACTCTGAATTTTTCATAAATTATTTATAATATATGTACACACGCATGTGTATATTGTATAATGGAAAATCAAATGGAAAGTTTGGAAAAAATCAAATACTTACATGAGACTTGTAACGCATAGTTACGTAAAGCAATTTATATATAATTCAACTTTCATAGCAATGTAAATATTTTTCTACTTTTTTTGTTCGATATAATTCACTAGGATGATATATGTAAGCTTAAATCTACTGTAAATAGTTGTCATAGAGTAGTTTTTCTTGCGCTGATTAATTGATATGAATGTGTGTTTTAAAAAAAATGGTGTGCTTGCGATGTGTATTACGTTGTTCAGATGCGATCAAAGTATTGAAATATATATTGTTCACACGAGGGCTATAAATTTAATGTCTCAAATGAAACGCGTTTATTTTTTTACTATCAAACCTCTTACATTAGCAATAAAATTCGGATACACGAAAACTTACTTCAATATAAATAATTTATATGTTCCATTTAATTGAAAAGAATAAAAAAATGATTGTGCCGGATTTCAAATTCAATCAACTGATGATTCTTGTATTATTTACACTCAATAGGGACACTCGATGTTCGAAAAAAAAAAATGTCAAAATTACGGAGCAGGTTGGAAAAAAGGGAGTAACGACGCTTGAACTATATATATATATATATGTAGTAAAATAGGCAAGGCGTTGTTATAATTTAAATTTTCAAAACGCACAAAAGAGCCATATATTTATGAGATGGGCCGTTTTCGCAACAATTTTTTACTTAAACCCATTGAGAATGCCCTATTGGCGAAACGAAGCTTCCGCCACCGTTCGTTCTCCAATAGACTGACGTGCGCTTTGGCAAGGCTTCCGGGAAAAGAGCGGCCGACGCTCTTCTGTTTAAAAGCCCTCGGCCGACTCCTCGCTCGCATCAACAACAACACATCGGCAGCAGAAGTACGGCCGTAACGTATCCAGCTCTTCCACTCGGTACATCTTGCCGCGGCAGTAAAAAATTTGCAACTCACCTCGACGATGACGGAATACCTCGACATCGGCAGCGATCACCAGTTCCTCGTCCCCACGTCACCCTGGATGCCAAGCGCAATCAGCAGCAGCAGCAGCAGCGTCGGTGGTAGCGTCGTGGTCGACAACAGCTGGACCCTGGACGACTCGGCAATCCCATCGCTGCGTTTTCCCCAAAAGCTCTGGCGCATTGTGAACGAGTGCAACAGCGGAGCCATCACTTGGGGCTTGAGTGGTCAAACGGTCCGACTGAACTACAAGAGTTTTCAAAACGAGTACCTCTCGGCCGGCGCGTCGATCTTCAAGACGAGCAACATCGCGAGCTTCATACGACAGCTGAACCTCTACGGCTTCCGCAAACTCGCCACCAACACTCGCGATCCCTTCGGCCCCATACCCACGGCTCAGGAGCAGGACATCCACGAGTTCGTTCACGAGCACTTTCGCGAGGGCAGGTTGGACCTACTGTCCAGGGTGTGCCGGAAAACGGGGGTCAAGAAGACCGGCCTCGCGACGACGACAGTTTCCAAGTGCGCGATCAAGAGAAAGGTTACCCAGCCGGCGAAAGGGGGAGCTGCGGAAGAGAAGTCAGTTGTGTCGGTGGACCCGGACGTTGACGCGGTGACGACGTCGTTGGTGAAGAAGGAGAAAGACGAGCTGGAGACGGTGCACTACGTGGAGAAACGCTCGCGGCTACAAATGTGTCGGGTACGTCTGCGGCAGCTCGCGAGGGACTGGAATATACATACGCGGCCGGTTAGGGGGGGGGATTTTTAACTTATGAGAGTTGAGAGGAGCGCGTTCGTTGTGAGAATATTTCGAACGCGAGGAAAAATCTGTTTGTTTTTTATTGTACTATATGGGTGTCTTTTCGAGGACGATTGTTTTTTTGTTTGCAATGGGGCAGGAATAACTCGGTGAATCTAACTAGACGGCTTTCCTTTACATCAAAATCAAAATTTTAATGTGTATTTGAATGAGTGAAAAAACAAAATGCTCATCTTTTCAGGCTGCACTTACCGAGGCTTTGGAGGAAGCGACTTTGCTGTACAAACGAGAGAAATTGTGGCTACAACTGGTGAATGCAAATATTCTGAGCGAATCGTTCCTCCCAAAATACGAAAGTAAAAAAAAAAATAAATAACGTATTGATTATTATTGTTTTTACCAACCTGCATGAGTAACCAATCAAATTAACGAATTTCAGCCCTAACGGTGGATCAGAATGTTGAAGTTGTCTTTCAGGATGATTTGTCAGTTTTGGGAGATAATTGTCAGATTATCGAAGACTCATCAAGCAACAGTATTGTTGATAACGACGAAAAAAATCAATGGCAAGAAGTTTTAAGTTTAGAAAATGGCGGTACTATATCAATTTCAACGCCATTTTTATGATTGTCCATTTTATCTGAAATTAGTTTTAATTGTATTTTAAATTAATTTGCAATCTACATGCCACGTGTAGTTATAATGAATTTTATTAACTCGAGTTATTCGATTCTCGAGTTATTTGTTGAAACTATAAAGATTAATATATATGTATACCTGTTACAAAGTTTCATATTTTAAAAGATTTGTTGATCATATTAATCAAAAGGTTTATATGTTACAAAGGTTTTGTAAATAAATGTAATTGAATTTCAATTTAAAACTTTTCTTTTGTAAAAAAACTAGTATTCACTCTTAATTACACGTATAGTTTTAATAGTTGTAGAATTACAAAACTTAATGGAAAAAAAATTTTAATTTAAATCTTCATTATAGATTTTTATTCCATGTATCTAAGTGAGCAAACAAACTCTAATATTTGGATAGCAGCAGAATCGAGGAGTAGTTTTAATCAACAAAACGGAAAATATTTTAAATAGAGAAATGACAAAGTGTCCCAGTACCTTGGTCATTCAAGTGGAGACTTAAAATATAAGTAATAGCCATTCATTTATGAATAAATAATCCTATTTTGGACCAGTGATCTATAAATAAATTTGATATGCTTGAAGCACCATTGTCTTGTTCAATAAATAATAAATGACAAAACGAAAATAAATAAGAAAAAACATTCAAATGGCTTTGAAATAGTCATCTGTTTGGGTGGTATACACATGTCCTTCACTCGATAAGAATTCCAAGATTTGATCAACTTTGTCTAGCAAGTAATGAGGCGCTTTCGATTTTATTTCTTTTCTATCGGCTCCATACTCTTGATCACTATTTTTCTTAACGATATCAAAGATGAGTATTTGTTCAGTACTCAGGCCAGCATGGATATTAATTGCCTCATTACTTGCATTGGCCAAATTTTCAGAATGGCTCGCAAATGTATTGCCAACAGCTACATTTTGGACTTGGTCTAGCATCTTTTCACCCGCAAGACTAATCATAGTCACTTCCATCAGGTGAGCCAAAAGTTCATTTAAATGTTCTATAGGCTGGATATTCATTACGAGCACATGCGTTTCATTGTGTTGATGGCGTACGTAGCCGTATATTCTGGCATAAGAATCAAGTGCAACTGGACACTGGAACATTGACCTGCATTCTCCATCCAGCCATTTAATTCCTTGAATGGTGCCTAAAAGCCGATTGGAAAATCCATAAAAAAAAATTTATTCAGAGCACTACTTCATAATGTCACTATTGAACGAAAAAAAAGAAAAAACCTGTCTCATCTTCAAGAAGAAACGAAACCTTTGTACTAAGATTTTCAATCCGGCGAAGTATCACCACAAGGGTCATAAGCCTCGCTGGCATCCCCCAAACTTGGATGTTGTCGTGATATCTCTGGAGATGTGCAACCATAAGGGGTATGCAATTTTGTCCACATTTAAATGACTTACTGTCACCGAATGTGTTTAATGAAGTATTGACATTTTTTTCTTCCAGTATTGACTCTTCAGTGTTGTTCCCCCACATTTTAGTTTGTCTCAACTCATGCAACCACGTAAGTGGTACTGATAATTTTCACTAGGGTTAAAGGCTTCTTAGGTAAACTTATAAAATAAATTAATAGTCTTGTTTTGGCTTGAAACGAATGAACAGATATGGTACTTGTTACATCCTTTTGAGATCTTATGGACTTATATCTCACATCCACCTTTGACTTTGACTCCTATCGTTTCGACTGTTCCAACACTCTTCCATGTCCCATGACAATATATGAGGTAAAATTAGTAACCAAGTTAGTTACAGTATACACTTAAGTAAGTATTTAAGTTCAATATTTTTATAACGTTGTGACATAAACTTTTTCATTTCTCCGAGTTGAACTGGAAGTGGGCGAAATCTTGAGCGACGTCAGGTTGCCGCAGGCCAGGCGCCCATCTGGCACCTGTTTTCGTTGCGCTAGTAGCGCCAACAAAAATTTTCACTAGCGCTGTCTGGTGGAAACTTTTTTGAGATCGAAAACGATTTAAACGGTTCTTTTTAATTCGGAATCAGTCGCACTGGGTAAAGCTAATTGTAAACTGATATTAAAATAATTGAACTAATAAGTATAAACTAATGTAATGTATTTACGCAAGAATCAAACCTACTGTGTGATCAGTTTATTGGCTGTTCCACGCTCTACAGGAATCCTAAATGTACATGTATTACTTGTTGAATTGTATTTTTACACTTAAACTAATGTAACGTATGTATTATTGTATCACAATGTGAACTTCCTCCAGTATACTTAGTGTAGTGGCATATATATGTAAAACTTTATAACAACGCCAAAATAAACGATTTAAAATTTAACTGATTTGGGGATACTTCCCTCACCAATAAAGGGCAGCCACCCTTACCTCTCTCTCGCACCTCGTCAAGTTGGACTTGGACCTTGCATGCACGATCCTGACCTGTCCTGACGGTGCTGTCTCTATTTTCTATAATCGTGTGGAAATTGCATCATTCAATTTTTGAACTTGACTCATTGCCTTTTTGAAAAGAAAGCGTTAGAAAATTACAACCCATCCGTTTGATTAAAAAGTACCCAAATGAAAAAATCAGTACTGTTTGTATAAATTATAGTATTTATGTACAAAAGTGTAATAAGAAATTATTTTACAAATATAGTCTTGCTTATGGATATACAAATAAAATACAGGTCTTAAAATCGCGACACAAGAATTTTCTTTAGTCTAGGGGAAAATAAATTCGTTAGTTGCAGTTGACGCGTCTGGACTAGGACTTGAACTTCCTGAACTCAATGTCTCCTCCTTTACTTTAATTATTGCTGGATCTTTTTCTTTGCTACCCTTATCCTTCTCTTTGTCTTTATCCTTTTCTTTGTCCTTATCTTTTTCTTTATTCTTGTCTTTGTCTTTTTTTTCTTTATCTTTCCCATGCTTATCATGTTTGTGTTTGTGCTTGTGTTTATGTTTCTTTTTGTCTTTCTTCTTCTTTTTGGCCTGCTTGTGGAGGATTAATGTTAATTATGCTTATATCAAAACAGTAAGTTATATACAAAATTAACAATAAAATACTTGTTAGATACCTTATTTGAAGCATCTCCTTTGGGTTTACTTTCATCCACCTCCTTTTTAAACATTCCAGGTTCAAAGCCAACTGGACCACCTGTACTGATACCAGGAAGCGATGCAGAATTGTCACTGTAATAATCAGACTTTGTTTTTCCGTCAACAGTAGCATTATCATTTTGATCATTCTGCAACAATTGGAATTATAAAATATCACACATTTGAATGTAAGTATTACATTTTATGAATCTATGAAAGACTTACTGCTATTTTCTGACGTTTCACATCTAGGCCATGATCAGGCAGTATTATTCCAGAAGTTTCTTTCACCGGTGATGCTTTTCTTTTAGTTGGAACGTTACTTGCTACCTCAGAATTGTTAGGGATTTCGTGTTTAATGTGTGGTATCGGAGGCAGTGGGGTCTGCAAACGTTTTTTAGATAAATTTGAAACAAATTACAACATTGTTCATTGGATACTTTTTGAACATGATTGTGAAAATGTATTACAAATCAACATATTTTGTTTCACAGCAATGCCACATCCAGAATTTTCTCAAAACATCATTGCTCGATTGCTTGTGGCAAATAAGAATACAAATAAAATTCTATACTCACTTTGCTCTCTGGAAAAAGTGGGTTAACTTTTTTTGGTTTTAATAACGTATCTAGTCCTGGAATAGGAAGGCACATTGGAGTTTTACTTCCGTATAGTGTATAATACAAATCTACCAAGTCGCATCTCAGTTTTGGATCATGAGATAATTCACAGCTAAAAAACGCAGTCGAAATAGGTAATTAAAAAATTCCGAAGTAAGGTAAAATATTAATTTTTACTAGACATACTTTATAAGGCTCCAAATGCGGTCGACCAATTCTGGTCTGTCTAATCTGTGCTTATGTGCTCGTTCAAACGGAGGATTCGCAACTAATAATCTTACCAACTTGTGGTGTATTCCAGGATGCGGATCACCTTCCGCCATGTCCAACAAAAATTCCAGATCTTCCCACTTGCCATCAACTTTTGTAAAATCAACTAGTGCCGTCAATGCAGCTATCCTCACATCTAAACAAAATTTAAAAATATTACGAATAGTTAGGAATTTTTTTTTTTTATAAAAAAAATTACAAATAAATTCTTAGTTTACCGATAAATTGACCATAAGCAGCATATTCTCTAAAAATAAGTGGAGTGCTGGGAAGATGACCATATTTTTGCAAAATTCTAATAACATTCAAGCAAGAAACAGTGACTGTGTACTTATAGCAGGGAAGTAATTTTTCTAAATTTAAGTGTCTCGTTACTTCTTCTAAAATAGTTTTTGTGTCTGCCGACAAAGATTCAGCTGTAATAGCAGTTCTGGAATTTTTAATATTTTAGTTTATTAAAATAATGTTTAATCTTTATGAAAATATAAAACATGTACAGATGATGCTACCCATGTTGTATGCTAATGACTGGCGTTACACTGGCGCCAAGCGCCTCTATCAATGCAGCCCTGTAGTAATTGTCAGAGTACCTATTTTTGCTGTTATCGTTGTATTTAAACAAATCCATTAGAAAAGAAAGAACTTCTGGAGGACAGATTCCATGTGCATTCCGCAGACCAGCCATTGCTACAGGGATCGTCTGAAATTGTAAATTTGTATTGATTGCCTACATTCGCTTGTAACCATCAGTTTTCATGATTTTTACCTTTTGAAGAAAATAATGCTGAAAATTGGTGAAATTGTTTTGTTTAATTATTCTTCTGCAAGATGCAGAACCAAACAATTTTCTAAAAATAGCCAACATAGCCGGGGGTCCTGCCCACGTAGCAACCATAGCATTGGCGACTTTAGTTAAACAGTGAGCAGCCCGTAATCTCACTTTATAATAGCACTGTTCATTTTCAATGGTGTCGGTCAATGCTAATCTTGTAGCTGGAGTCGCATGATTTTGTAAAGCATCAATAGCTTCCAATTGAGCTGTCACATCCCTCTCGTGTCTTAACTGATATTGCCACTGATAGTCTGGCTGTTCAATTTGCACTGCCCTCATCAAAGTCATTTCTGGATCCAAACGAATCCACAAAACTGGAGAATCACTAAAAAAAATTTATTCACCCTCATTATGAAACTGTTTCAGCAAATGCATCAAAAATATGATATTAAAAAATTACTCCATGGCTGAAAGATCCATGTCTACTTCCTCCCCCGTACACAAGGGAATTTTTTTCTTTTTGTTCCTTCTACTTTTACTGTGGCAAGTGATATCAGCTTTAGCCACAGTCCCTTCAATTTGTAGTGTATGTTTAAACGTCCCGTCAAGCTCCTGAATATTTACTAACAACGGACCCACGTATTTTCTTATTCCTTTTTGATGTGTCGTATCTTGGCGTATTTCCAATTCAACAGTATTTCTGTTTACAGGTATAATAACGTATTGTAAGTTTTATACTCCTAATTTATACAAAGTAAAAAAAAATTCTTGGCAAACCTTTTTCTGTTAAATACGAAACTCAAAGTAAATTTAGCGTGACCTCCAGTTCTCACCCACTGGTCAATGAAAACTGCCATATCTTTACCAGTAACAGTAAAAATAGCTTTTGTAAATACATTGGTACTTATCAACATATGTGACCACAGTCCTGACTCGATTTTCTGCTGTGCAGCATTGGCTGCTAACGATAACTGTTTATTGAAGACCTAATTCCACGACAAGTTTTTTAAATAATGCTAGACTAATGTTATTTTGAAAGAAAAAAAAAGTGTTAATTACCTGTAACAAAAGTTCTTGACCGATTCTATGTTCCAGCATACGCATAACTAAGTGAGCTTTTTTGCGAAGAACATCTATATATTTGGGCGACATAGTGTGCAAATTTTTTATTGGAAAGTAAAACCCAGGATCTGGAGCTCGTGGAGCAGGAGCTGGAGTGTTTCCTGCTATTGGCATGGGAGCAGGAGGCTGCGACGAATCCAAAATTATACCACCAAATTGTTCTTCATATTTTACAACTTCCCGCAATTCCTAAAAATATTTGGATATTAGGCTTAGGAAAGTTAGAAAAAGGTGCAAATTTTTATATAACTACAAACTGTATTAGATCAATAAAAAAATAAGAATAGATTTAAAACCTACCGATTGTACCCATTGCCGATATTCATTGTTACCAAAACACTTTTTGGCATATAGTCCTGTAAGATAAGTCGAAATTCCCTTCGGCAACCACACATCGGACCAATTTTGCATTGATATAAAACAACCAAAAAACTGTTCAACCACAGCTTGGGCCATTGCTTTTTTCGTTATGTACACTTGATCAATTATAGCATTGGAATGGAGCAAATTGGTGCTGTAACAAAAAATCTTAATTTAATGGAAATTCTTCATAAACCATTGGGTTGGTAATTTAACTCCATTAGCGTAAGATCAGACTTTAGAATACTCATTGTGGCATATGCATTGACATCCTCATCAACTTCATCAACAAAGACTTGTTTATAGCAAGAATAAGGATATCGGTTTGATAATGTCTCCTCAAAATATTCGAATGCTTCATGTAAATATTTTACTGAGGCTTTTAAAGTAGGTAAAAGTTGAGGTAGGCAAAAATGTGTCACTTCATGCATGTATGGATCCACAAAAATCTCAAACGGTCTGAAAAAAATTTTGTACTCGCATGAATGCAAAAGCAATATAATCAACAATATCAAAGTCAAATATTGCAATTACCCAACAGCTAAAGCTATGTTTGGGGCACAAGCTGGTACATTTAAAACGTAGTGAAAGGTTTTTTTCCTCATATCAGGAGTGTATACTATTTCAATTAAATCACCGCATGATACAGCAGTCATGGCGTCATCAACAGTGAATTCCAGTTTCCATGTACATGGCTCGGCAAAACTATCAATGCAGGGAAACCACAACCTTGATGAATTTTCATAACTGTATGTGTACATGTGAGCTCCTTTCTAATAAAAATACAAGAAATAATATTGCCATAACACTGTCATAATAGACTTCTACAAATACTGTAAATTGAAAAATCTTACCTCTGCCAATGTTCCCGGACAGTTTGGAACGACAAAATGAACTCCGCCTTGTGGTTGTTCTAAGGAAAACTCTATTCCTATCCTTAAATTTTTATTTTCTTCTATCAAATGAGCTAAATCTGGTGTTATTTGTATCAGCAATTCACCAGCATTATTGTCTGGATCAACTTTTTGGGCTGCTGCTAAATGAAGATTCGAAAAAAATTCCAAAGACCGCCTATAAATAATAATTTACTTTTGAAAAAGTACAAATAATTCTTGTTGTACTTATACTGAATAAATAAGTATGTATTAAAAACTAGTCATAAAATAAAGTTACGCTTACGTACTCTTTATCGTTTCCTTGAGAAATGTCTAGGAACGGATCAAAATATTGAAAAGGAACTTCATATGTATCATTCAAGCAAACTTTGTATATTCTACATTGTTTTGCATTCAAATGAATAAATCTCAGATTATCTCTTAATGGAATTATTGTCAGTTCAACCATTCCCTAGACAAAAATAAAAAAAAAATTTTAATAACTTCATTTAATTAACATTACTAAAGGTATCATAAAAAAATTGCTTACAATGATACTTTTCCTTTGAAAGCTTATGCCTGTAAGACTTACAATTTGATGGGCTGTAAAGAGATCAAATAAAATAATAAACTCATCTTATCTAATAAACTTAACAATCAAATGTTTCAAGTAGTGTTCTAATTGTTCCTTGACTGAAATAAATCTTACTTAATTACACTCTAACAAATACATTAATTTAGTATTAATTTGACTCTCAATAATGAAAAATGTTTACATGTACAAGTTAATGTAAAAATATGGCCACTTGAATAAAAAGTTAGATTTCAAGAAGAGACTTTGATTTTAATATTTTACAAGTAAAGCAGCAACACACGGTAAACAAAGCAACATAACCTCAAGGAACAGCCTACTTTAAAAAGTGCACAAAATAACCGATAACCTGACGAGCGATAAGCAAAAAGTTAATAAAAAATACTTATAATTTAAAAGGCCGACTTGTGTCAGCGGTTTTGTCTTTCTTCATGGTTGAAGAAACTAAAGGAGGACTTGCGTCCTGTAACGCTAACTCTGTTGAAAAGTAAATAAGTCAAATGGTGAGCCCCGGTCGAAGCGCCAGACGGACAGTGCGTCGTCGGCGAACTCAGAACGCACTAATTTGTGCGTGATGACATGACGTCATTGATGTCACTCAGTACGTTAAGAGTTAGGATTAATCTTAAATTTTAATAATTATTATAATTACACCTTAATGGAAATTCGAGACACTTTGTATGATAATTGTGCAGATCATTTCAATCTATAATGTATGCGTTTTTATTAAAAACGTAATTAATGTAATTTTAATCAACTGATTTTATGCTTTTTCCTCTCAAACAATGATTTATTAGGAAGTAAGGGCACTTTGATTTATTATACTTACGTAAAAGATGCCAATACAATACGAATTAGTCTAGTTATATCGTAATACAGTATGAAAATAAAAAAAACTGAAAACTTAAGTTTTTCTAGACATTTTATTTAATTTACTCACCGTAAGTTTTTCTCCGTTTCTTGCATTGAAAGTAAAGTAGACAACAGCATAAAACTTGCAAAAAACAAAGGTATTCTTTCCAAACACAATTTTTGTTACATATTGTGATTAATGATAAAATCAGATATCCGTATGTATTAAAAATAAATAATGTGAATAGAATGAAAAATGTAACTTATGAATTTTAAAAATATTTGTACGGCTTGAATAACGTATACAAATTTCATCGTTTATGGTGAAAATGAAAATAATGTGATATCAAGAAACACAAGCTCGCATACTAGCTTTGTCATTGATAAGAAATAAACGACTAGTATGTGTTTGCGGTACTATCATAAATTTTGTAGTAAACAACCAAATAAGTTTTCTTCCTATGTATAGACTATCTCAAAATAGAAGTGATAGCTTGATATGGCATTTTGTACTACTCTTTTTCGGGTTTTCCAAGTTTAGTTTCTGAACATCTCATTATGATTTAAATAACAAAAAGTATCTTATAATAACAATCAAAATTAATAGAGTTTTTTTATCGGGAAAAGGATAAAATATTAAATGATTCTTCAAATTAAGTTGGAAAATACAATTTATTACAAACGATTTATAATTATAAACATGATAAATTTACATGTAGTACTATCAATTACATTACATGATAAATAATAAAACGCTTAAAACTAGTTGACATTCAAAAATATACAATAAAAGAAAGCTTTTCTTATTACCAGAAATATTTCTTCTGTAAAAATCAGTATAAGTTATTAAAACAGTATATGATTCTTCAAATTAAGTTGGAAAATACAATTTATTACAAACGATTTATAATTATAAACATGATAAATTTACATGTAGTACTATCAATTACATTACATGATAAATAATAAAACGCTTAAAACTAGTTGACATTCAAAAATATACAATAAAAGAAAGCTTTTCTTATTACCAGAAATATTTCTTCTGTAAAAATCAGTATAAGTTATTAAAACAGTATATAATCAACAAGTTATTATTTTTGAATTTATAATATAATAACACAATTTTTTTATTACTGCTTCTCTCATACCATTAGTCAGTAATATTTGTGTTGATATTATACATCTATAAAAACGGCTGTCACAGATCATCGAGCTTTAAAGTCAAAACAGTGATCATGGTTCTTAATTTACTAATTTACTAACTATTACAATTTACATTATTAATTTTATATGACAAGTAAAAAAGAACGCAACAAAGAGAAATTTTAATACAGTTAGATTTATTACGCTAGGGTTGAAAAAAAAAAAAAAAAAATATTTTTTGAGACTAATTTCATTTTTAATAAACTTTACTCTCCCTATCTAAAAATCCTAGGCTATTATACGTAAGCTTGGGTCCCAATACGTAACAGAAAAATATTAGGATATTTGAGAATAAGGTAATTCAAAATCAGGGCTTGAAAATGACAAATTTGATGGAAACGAATATATAATCTCTATAAGCTAACTCATCTTTTCAAACAGCAGTTTAACTGTTTTGCAATAACATATTTCACAATTGTGAAACCATTGTAGAGAACAAAGTTAAACGGAAGAAGTCGTAGATTAACAGCGATTCCAAGCTAATAAAGCGTACAGATGAAGTTTAACAGTAGGCTAACGCATGACTGATTCTGCAGAGTCTTTCAGAATGTTTGAACATAAAAGAAATCGAGCCAAAATTAGATCATCAAGGTGAATTTAAGTATTTAAAATACCATGTGGGAATATTTCATTGCAATAATGATGATTAATCGATTATCCAAATGAACGTGAAGTCAAAATAAAAGGCTTATAAATACGTCAACACAAAAATAAATGTAAACTAGAGAGGGTCTATCGATGCTAATCAAGAAGGAATGGCGAAATGAGGCTTTCTCCATGTATTGAAGTTACTCTAGAATGCACAAGACTTGCATTTAATGTTTATAATATTTTTCCTTTTTGTGGGACAGTATCCGTTTTTGTTTATGTAAAATAGTATGTTCGTACTCACATAAATTTAATAATTTAACATTTTAATATTTTAATTTAATTATAATTTAGATGTAAACTGATTTGGGTCAATCGATGCTAATCAAGAGAGAGTGGCAAGATAATACTTCGAAACTTGCGAATAAATGATAGTCACTGGAAAGTGGCAATAACGTTGCTATCTGCATAATCATGCCGAATTGCGATAAATTCAAAATGGCAATTTGAAAATGATAGCTATTAAATTAAATACAATTTACTTTAGTTGTAGTTGTATATCACTATATTTCACAGAGTTCTGCATAATTAAAAGCAAAATAAGTCATGAAGATTTATAGTTAGAATGGTTGTTTGAAAATTATACGGCTACACATCACTACATTTTGCTGCGTTCTATAATTTAAAAACGAGTATTTTGTTTTTAGATTGGGATTTTATAAAATTAGTTGTTTCAATAATGTACGGCTACACATCACTACATTTTGCTGCGTTTTGTAATTTAAAAACGAAAATTTTAATCGTAAATTAGAAGTTTAAACAGTTAATTGTTTGGATATTGTACGGCTACACATCACTACATTTTGCTGCGTTCTGCAATTTAAAAACGAGTATTTTGTTCTTAAATAAGGATTTTGAATAATTAGTTGTTAAAATATCATACGGCTATACATCACTACATTTTGCTGCGTTCTATAATTTAAAAATGAGTATTTTGTTTTTAGATTGGGATTTTATAAAATTAGTTGTTTCAATAATGTACGGCTACACATCACTACATTTTGCTGCGTTTTGTAATTTAAAAACGAAAATTTTAATCGTAAATTAGAAGTTTAAACAGTTAATTGTTTGGATATTGTACGGCTACACATCACTACATTTTGCTGCGTTCTGCAATTTAAAAACGAGTATTTTGTTCTTAAATAAGGATTTTGAATAATTAGTTGTTAAAATATCATACGGCTATACATCACTACATTTTGCTGCGTTCTATAATTTAAAAATGAGTATTTTGTTTTTAGATTGGGATTTTATAAAATTAGTTGTTTCAATAATGTACGGCTACACATCACTACATTTTGCTGCGTTTTGTAATTTAAAAACGATAATTTTAATCGTAAATTAGAAGTTTAAACAATTAATTGTTTGGATATTGTACGGCTACACATCACTACATTTTGCTGCGTTCTGCAATTTAAAAACGAGGATATTACTTTCAAATTAAGAGTGTAAATTATGAATGATTAAAAGAGTAGACGGTTATACATCACTACATTTTGCTGCGTTCTATAATTTTAAAACAAGGATTTGAATCGTATATTAAGAGTTTAAATATTGTACAGCTATACATCACTACATTTTGCTGCGTTCTGCAATTTTACAACGATAATTTCATTACCATTCTGTGTACAGTTTCATTATTAACGATAGTTTCACTTTAAAATTTAAGAGTTTAAATTGTGTATTATTTAAGAATTGTATGGCTACGTCTCACTACGTCTTGCTGCGCTCTGCAATTTGCAAGTGTTAGTAATAGAATACATAATAAATTGTTAAGAGAAGAATAATTTGCCATCGGTTTCAAATTGAGAATTACTATTCTTTATACTGCAACGTTTACGTACGGAAATTTCTCAAAGAAAAGAAAAAAAATGTATTTAAAAAAATAGGATTATGTGCTACAGAACAAAGTTTTAAGGAACGTTTTGTTGTCATAACTGGGTACTTCGGTATTACGACAGAAAAGGTTGCGTATCAAGTATTTATTGACTTATATATCAGCCAGTTTGAAGAGACTAAGGCCAAGAACTGACTATTTGGATTATTGGGAACTGATTCACCGACATACAATTTTCTCTTTGTTCTAACGCGTTAATATCGTCGTAATTTCTCATAATTATTGTGTTACTTAATCAAAAGAGATTTTATTTACCGAAGATACAAAATTAATAAATATTTATATTGCACGTTCATTACATGAGTAGCAAAATACAGATTGATCTACCGAAAAAGCAATTAAACTAATTACTCTAGTTCCACATTTTCATGTAAAACTATAACGTCGTTACTAACAAGAAATTGATTCACACCAGAAACTTGAATTTTCAATACCACTACTACTAATATTACAAAATTGATGAGAGCTGCTTACAGTAGTTTAAGTCTAGTGCATCCACACTGTAATAATGGAATATCTCATATTCACTTAGCTTATTATGACATCGCTAAAAAAGATTATTTTGGACATAATAATTTATGTAACACTTTAACAAGTGTTCAACCAAATTTTGGCTGTAGTGAAAGTTTTCCAGAGTTGAGGAATAAGTTTGTAATCAGCATTGGACAAATGTTGATTATGTAGAGAAATCATCTAGCTCATAAATAAAAAAAAAAATCAATTGCACAATAGCACAAGATTTTAATTTGACTCCTCACACATTACACGTTTCAGAGTGTCATACTGGATAGAGATTAAAATATACCACAATTGAGCTTCAACGATTATGAATAGATGAGTGTAACTATCCAAAATAATGTAACTATTCCAAGAGCTCGTAGGTCTGAGGCTCAAGTTTTTCTCCCTTCAACTACCTCAATTACCTTTAATCTCCCTTCAATACATACATGTATACATACAAACATATATATAGGGATTTCACCCACATAATTAATAAATTGTTGCTTTTTTTATAATTACCAGAACCGTCAAGCCCTTCCGGAAAGGCAATTGAAATGAAAAAGAAAAACAAAAAAGAGAAGGAGAGGAAGACCAAACACAAACGAGATGAAGAACATCGTCCATCAACCTCCGATGGTAAGACATAGTTAATAACTACAAAAATATGATGTAGGATTTACTATACCGGATAATACACTTTTTTTTCCAGAATCTCCGATTGCCGTGCTTCGACGGAAGCGAGCTATCGCCGAAGCCGCTGCTACTTGGAGCAGGACACCAAGTCCTATCTTTACGACATCGACGGCCTCAACATCTGCCGGAACAAGTAAAGAACCTACGCAGCTATCCGGTTCATAAGGCACTACACACGTACCGAAGCCCGACGATGACGACAATGATGGTTTCCCTGTTTCGATCGTGGCGTTGATTCGACGTTTTGAGAGGCCCCAACCCACAGTCAAGAAGATAGAAAAGCTGGAGGGAGTCGCAAAGTTGACCATTCAGCAAGGACACGTAGGCTTGCTTCAGCCGGACAGGCAATTAACTCCGTCGCAAGATAAATCTACGAGCCAGATTATGTTTAGATTACTTACATTAAATAACCTGAATGTATTTCATACTAATTCTTGATTTTTTGCTTTTGCTAATAAGATTCTCTGTTGCTAATAAGATTTTAAAACACGATTCCAGCCAAATGTAGACCACTATACAATAATCAGAGACGCAGCATGTTCTGATTGATACCTGGTTGGCGCCACATTTTATTCTCTAATATTTCATTGAATTATGCTTTTATGCTAGATTTTTGTCCCTCAATTTTAAGAAAACATTGAACCACAAGAGTATCAAGTGCTGCATCATAGGAACGATTTCTGTATTATCTCGAATTTTACTTGATGTTTTAAGTCAGGTCTCTTAAGCTTCACGTAGTTGATGGTTTAACGTACTTGAAGTGACCTCTTGATTATCTCTTCTTTCTTTTCTCATTAAATTCCGTAAATTTTTGTTAATTTCTCTATTACTCAAAAAACTTCTTTTTATGGACACCATTTTCATGCACTTTCACCTTAAACTACAATGTTCACTATAAACAAAAATTAATAATGTGCTCTAAGAGTAAAATGGTATAAGCACGTGTTTCGCTTACCTAACCAAAAATGGTGTAGATTAAAGAAAACGAGGCACAAGTACTGTAGATATCCTAAGATTAACGGTGAAAAATTGTAACGTTTCCAGTTTCAATATTTACTTTTTTAACGGATTTCTGCAATGATACAAAATTACATTATTTATAAGTGTTTAGACGACGTATGTACGTACCAGAATTAGAATTTTAATTATCTAACTGCAAATATAAGTACACACCTAGTTCCTTGCTTGTTTTGGAATATTCTCATCCAAACTCCTCTCGTTTTGGGAATGGAGGCCCACAAAGAGAACGGTCATTGTTGGCGTCCATTATGGCAGGTGGCCAAGTTACTCAGCTACCTAAACTGTACATTAACATACAAAAAAAAAATACCAAGTTTTGTAAGCTTGTAAATTTACTATAATAGTTAATGCAATAAATGAACGATGCAAGGGAACTATTTAATGGGTGTTATTTGCTGTTGTTCGTCTATTTCTACACCGAGGGCATACACATAAATATATGGTATAACAAATAAATATATGCAATACTTGTTTTAACAAGTAAATAATATACGAAAATAATTCGCTGATGACGTGATATTTACGTTGCATAAACATAATTCTTTCCAAAATTCGGATGGAGAAAAATTGTGAAACAGCAAAATGGCGTTCGTACCGTAACGACGCCACGTACTACAATTATATTTCAAAATTTGCATTAATAGCGTAATAACCATTTCGTACCCTGAATTTGGAAAAAAAAAAATTAAACAAGCACTCTAATTATATTATTTGTGTAATACTTACGAGTTTACGACTTGCAGGCTCTACTCATTCTGCTGCAGTCGCAGACGCAGATCGAAGGGTTTTGTAGCTTAAAATAAAATGAGGCCCACATGTTGGCACCGTGGCACACACGTGAGTATCTCAGCTCTACCTCTACCAGCCTACGCCGGCTCTGCTCAACCTGTGCTATTCGCTCCGAACCGATACAGAGGTTGCGCCCCCTCTAGCCAAAATCAGGCAAAATTTCTTGCATGTAAACAAACGGTTTAGAACTGCTTGTGATTGGCTGAATAAGACAGCAGGAGAGGATCGTCGTTCTCCCTCTAGCTTGCCAAGTGCCAATCACAAGCAGTTGTACGTATGTATATATGTTCTAAACCGTTTGTTTACATGCAAGAAATTTTGCCTGATTTTGGCTAGAGGGGGCGCAACCTCTGCATCGGCTCGGAGCGAATAGAAACGGTGGCTCGTGGCTGCGGGCTGATGCCGGCAGTTTCCAGTTAGGTCTAGGTCTAGGTCTATATTCTATTGTGCGCCGGTGCGCATGACCACGGTAGTGGTGGTGGTCAGAGGGTATAAAAAAATAAAAGGGGGAGAGTGACTCGCCTCGCCCTGCGCTTATTGGCCCGTTCAGCCCGTTCTAGATTTCTGGCGGTAAAGACGAAAAATACGAGAGTATCACGTGGATATTTATAAGTTTACCCTGGTCGGCTCTTCTCCTTATAACTTTTAACCATACCCTCTTTGCTATCTCCATACTAATGCATTCCTTAAGGCGCGAAAGTTTGTTTCGTTTTGAACTTTCCAAATTTTCATTCCCTTGATACAAAATACAAATTTTCATTGTTCGTGAAACACCTCTCATAGGTAGTAGTAAGCTTGTTCTCGAGCGAATTGCCCTCGTAGAACGTTATTCTACGTATAAATTCGACTTAAAAAAAAAAAAAAAAAAAAAAAATGTATATCTAGGATTATTGTGGCTATTAATTAAGCTTACTTATTTCTGAAGTTTATTCATGATATTCGAAGTATATAGTTGCATGAAGAAGAAGAGATCTTTACAATTAACAAAAAAAAAAATCACCAAAACCAAGAAAATAATTTCCACACACACACACGCGATCTCTGCAATCTCTGAAAAAAACACCACCTGTACCCCCCTTCTCTCCTTATTTTACCCACTCACCTCCCCTCCACTGGCGACACTTCTTTCGTATTGGCGTTCGGGAGCTGTTGCGGCAATTTCGAAGGGTATACTTGCATTACACTCGCGCGCGCAAGTCGTTCAATGTTGTGAGAGTGTACAGGCAAGCGGAGAGACGTCTTGCTTTCCCTGCCAAAATTGTAGAGGGAAAACACAAGCCACGGGAGCAGCAGGAGAAAGAATAGCCCACGAGGAGTCATTGTCGTTGCCGTTGCAGCAGGATGGCAAACGACAGTCAACAGAGCCGCTACGAGAAGTCGCTCGGGCTGCTGACCACGCGCTTCGTCAGCCTCCTGCAGAAAGCCGAGGATGGCGTGCTCGATTTGAAAGTGGTAAGGCGCGCGCTCTCGCGACCCTCGGGCTCGGTATACCCATGTTTCACGAGGGGCCCAGGTTACGTAGGACCCGGGCTCATCGACGACCCCCTTTTGATCTCTTGCCTTGGTTTTTCCGGCCCAGGCTGCTCTAGGTTAAGTATTCGCGGTTTGTCCTCCGCGCCGTGCATTTACGTATTAGCCCGCCCTAACGCACGGCGCGGCGCTATCTGACGCAAGCAGCCATTGTTGGATCCTCCTCGGCTTGCGGGAATTTTGAAAGGAAAGGGAACATGCTCCCCGGGAGTCTCGTGTACTTACTTTGTCTATTACTTTTGCTACGACCTCTTGCACCACGGCTCACTGCCAATGTGGCTCTGCAACTCGTTGCATCTTGAAGGAATAAGACTCGATTCTCTGTTTCGTTCAATTGATTTATTGTTGTTGATTTAATCTTACATAACCCAGATCGCGTCAATTGGCAACAACAAAGAACTGATTTCGCTGTGGGTTTGGCTTATGATTTAGGGCAATGCAAATTCCAACACCTATGCTTACTTACATTTCTTCTAACTGTTTAAATACTGTGCTCAAGACTCTTTTACTTGTACTGTTGTAGGCAGCTGACTTGTTAGAGGTACGACAAAAGAGAAGGATATACGACATCACAAATGTACTTGAAGGTATTGGACTGATTGAAAAGAAGAGCAAAAACAGTATACAGTGGAAGTGAGTGGGCTGATGCATTACAAATGGGTGTTTGGTAACGTTATTTATTAAGTAAGATTTTATTTTCTACAGAGGAGCAGGTCCAGGATGCAATTCACAGGAAACCATTGATAAGCTGACTCATTTAAAAGACGAGCTCAAGCTGCTGGACGAACATGAGCAAGAGATTGACTTGCACACAAATTGGGTCAAGCAGAGTGTGAAAAATGTGGAGTGTGATTCTACTACCAAAAGATACGCTTACGTTAAATATGAAGATTTCAAAGAGCGGTATAACGATGATTTTATATTAGCTATTCAAGCACCAAAAGAAACCCGATTGAATGTGAGAAAAATTGAGACAGTGAGTGCTTAGTACAATCCAAAATCATTATTGTAGTTACGGGTATCTAATTTTATTAATTACTTAAAATTTTGTTTGTCTCATAGGTGACGGGAGATGTTGAGGACGAAGAAGTAAATTATGAAGTGTACTTAAAAAGTTCAACTGGAGAGATTTCCGTATACATCATTCCACGAGAACTGGCAGAATCTTATGACAATAATTGTTTGAATCAAGTTATATTACAGCCAGAATCTAAAAAACCAAGGGTAGATGTAGAGGAACAGAGGCATGAAAAGATGAATGATAAGGAAGATCATAAAAAGTATGGGAAGGAGGATAAAAAAGCAGAAGAAATTAAAGAGTCCAAGTCGAGTTTGAAAAAAGAAGAAATCAAACCAAAGAAAAGAGTTGGAAGGTAGGTCATGTCTATTTGTTGTCTTCTTTAATAATGCTCTTATCGCTTTGAAAGCAGTAAGCCCATGCTTTCAACCTGCACAGAGCAAACAACAAATGATACTGTTTGGGGATTAACATTCGTAATACAAGAACTGTTAATTTGGAACAGATCAAACACGTATTTTGCATTACATGCTTAGAGATCAAAAACAAAAAACATCTCGCTTTTGGCTTGAGTACAAAATTTAGGAGATTTGAAGATTCTTAGCGTATTCCCATTGCGTGAACATTTTTTTTTTTTTTTACGTTGCATATGTGTGTACGTTAACCTTTTGGAATTATTTTTTATTAGGCCACCAAAAAATTCTGTCAAACCTGAACCTGTATCAGAAGATGAGGAAGATGAGGATCTAGATTTGCTGGAAGCAAAAATAGTGCTTCGAGACGTCAATATGTCAGGCAACGTACATCAAAATTTGGACTACATTGATGAGATATATGCTGGAAGTAAGTTATATGTTTGTTACAATTAACAAATATCAATATAATCTACTTTTGTTTAATCAATTTCATATTTTCAGTTTGTGGACCACTCATGAGGCTAAGTCCTCCGCCTCAAGAAAAGGATTTTCGTTTCAATCTTGGTGAAAGTGAAGGTCTGTGTGATCTTTTTGACATTTCGGCTCAATGAGCCACTTGCTTTGTAATCTACTTTTTCACGTAAATCTGACGCATACTAATTTAGATTGTGATCCGATTCAAGTCTTGTCGTTAATCAAGGCTGATGTATATAATTTTAATGAACGTTTAACTGCGATCGTCAGTGTTGATAAATGATTTTTATACATTTAGTAGGAATTAATTGACATGGACATTTTTTCGGGAAATTCTGAACTGTATTCATCAAAATCATTGTCTATGTATAAATCAAAGAGTTTATGAAACATTTAGGTACATAATAATGACAACGCGTTTTCTATTCCATATTTTGTTTTGTCTTGTAAATATAGTTAATATAAGCTAGAGTTGAAGTAAAGTTACCTATTAAAAAACTTGCGTTTGTAAATAAAATTAATCTGACACTCAAGGGAATGTAACATTTTGATGTACCACTTGTTTATTCCTTTTCCTTTAGGTAGTTAATTATTTATTTAGAAGTGAAACTTTGACTTCAGAAATCTTATGAAACGAAACGAGTTTGATTAATAAATTATATTTACATTAAAGGCTAAACAATGAATTTGAGATTGCGCACTGAAAACTATCTAATTAATTTTTACATTAATAACACCTACATGTATTTTTAATTATGATGCAGCAGCTTATAAAAAAAAATTATGAATGAATGAGAAATGAAAAAATGACCACAAATAGTTTAATTTTCCTACGTCAAATCTTGTAGATATTGTTAAAAGTATTTGTGAAAATTTTTTTCATCAACCTAGACTTTACATGATCAAAAATATTATTAATATATTTTCGTTAAAATAGAAATTTAAGAAATAAATTAACCACTTTAACATTTTTAATATTTCGCTGATATAATGTTTTTTTTTTTTTTCAACCTCAAATGAATATTTCGATTGTTCCGTCACTTCAATCTTTAATCATGATATCTCATTTCGTTGTAAAATTAATTTCACAATTTCCTCAGGTGAAATGTGTATGAGTGAGTCCACAGGACAATATAAGTCGAACGATTGAGCACAAGAAAAGCAATGATGCATTAAATCATACAATTATATGTATGCCTTTAATCTTATACACACAACTAAATAGTCAGGAAGCATAATAACTTGGCGGATCTCTAGACGGAAAGTCCGACACCTATGAAAATAAAATACATATTTAAGAGCTCTTTTGGATCAGCTCGACGCTTGCGCGCCCAAGTTCGTAGAGAAATAATACTAACTATGATACTTGCGCGCAAGCATACAATATTATAAATAAAATCGTCACGACGATTTATATTTATATCAGCTACATTATTACGTCAATTACGCGCCTGTATCACATGAATACCGAGTTGAATACGAGTGTGGGACACGATCGATCGAACGAGTTAGTGGCAAAAACCTCTGAATGACTTGCAAAATAAGTCTAAGAATACACAAGTAAGTACTTGAGTCATGTAGACAGTAAAATAAGTACGTGTGTGATGTATGTGTATTTTGGATCGTATGCCATCAAAAAGCTCTCTTTCTCCAAAGAAAACGCAAAATCGGTTCCTCTGTGTAAAAGTGTAAAAAAAATTAGAGTTTGTCTCATCCGCGTGCACCTGCTAAGGGCCAAGGTCGAGGTGGCGGGTGTGTACGCGCGCGTATTTTATACTTATACCTGCACGAATGACGTAGAAAACGGCATCATCGCCAACTCTTCATGCACCCCCCGCACCGAGAATGCTGGCGTATGATTTATAATAATTTTTCCTCGAGATTATGGTGCAAGATTACATCCAACTTGATACCTAATACGTGACTCCTGCTGGTCCGTACTGATGGTGCAGCGCTCTCGGCGAGAAATTAACTCGATGATCTTCGATCCCCGTAACAACGGAGTTGTTATTAAAAAAAAAAAAAAAAAAAAAAAAAAAAAAAAAAAAAAAAAAAAAAGTGAACATCAATAGTATCAGCACGAATTTTTAGAAAAAGTTATATAGAGGATCTGAATGAATCAGAGAGTGTGTGTATGTGTGTTGTTGCATGAAGCGATCTTGGCCGCAGAAATGTCGCGAAATCGATCCCAAAGCAGCGACAACGACAGTGACAGTGCAGAGGCTCTGCGAGAGAGCTTTGACGAATAGGTAGTCGTGGTCGTGACTCCACGTTACGTCACGCGTTATCATTAAGGAATTCACGGGTACTCGTCGTAAAATCAACTCGTCACTCTTTCTCCCGGATTGAATTAATTCGCGCTAACGGACGTACACCACAGGTCTCTCTCCTTCTTGCAGTGCGTTTATACCTATACGTGTGAATAATATATAGTTATACGGATACAGGGCACGTAAACAAACACCATATAACAACTATACTGCAACTGTTGTTGCTGCATCTGTCACATCGCTGCATGCAGGTGAGTTTTGCTTTTTCGAAAAAAAATCGTCTGCTACGGAACAGCTGTTCTTTCACGTGCTGTCTGCTATATATGCAGCAAAATGTTTAATTTCGTCAGCCTGTCAGTTTTGCCTGCACCAATACTATATCATGTATGATGCAAGTTGCTTAACGATCGATTAACAAAAATATAAATGATGCCAGTAGTTTGAATTGTTATAATGATGGATGTATTTTTCGCGCGCGCGCGCTTCCTGGCCGCTGCTGTATTACAGACTACCAGGATGAGGGTGATACTGCTTAAGTTTCGCGAGGTGACCAAGAAGTATCCAGTGGTCAGGGGCATGGCTTCTTACACGGTGATCTGGCCCGTGGCCAGTCTTATACAGCAAAAAATAACGGGCAAGGAGCAGCTCGATTACATGCAGGCCGTCAGGTTCAGTATCTACGGAGGTTTCTTTGTCGCTCCAACTCTTTACTGTTGGCTCAAATGCGCCTCGCACTTTTGGCCCAGGGCAGATCTCAAATCAGCGATCACCAAGGTATCACGGTGTCTGTCGTTGTGTAGTACCTATACTTTGTTTTGTCAGTTCTCTCACTGTGATGTTGTTGAATTTCAGGCTCTCGTTGAACAAGTGACTTATGGGCCTAGTGCGATGTGCTGCTTCTTCTTTGGTATTAATTTTCTCGAGTTCAAACCCATCGATGTCTGTATACAAGAAGTTAAAGAGAAATTTTGGCCAACCTACAAGGTCTGTAATTTGTTTGTTTGTACTGTTATTTGACCATATAAAAAAAAGAAAAAAAAAGAAAAAAGGTAGATACGTACATTTATTTGATTTAGGTTGGAGTTTGTGTGTGGCCATTCTTGCAGACAATAAATTTTCTTTTAGTACCAGAAAAAAATCGAGTAGTTTATGTAAGCATATGCAGTCTCATGTGGACCTCGTTTCTTGCCTACATGAAGTCAATAGAACCCAAGAGGCATATGGAAATACCCCAGTATGATCCAGTTGTGGAACCAGAAGTCAAACACAAAAAAAAGATATTGAATGACAGTACACTGGCGTCAGCCCTTAGATAATATTACTTATTATTCTTACACAAATTCACAATTAGCTTAATTTATAATTGTACAAAATTTTTACTCTAGGTAATTAAACATTTTGTTACATGTCTTGTTATAAGTAACACAATGCTTGTAAAGTGCTCTACTTATAAGTGGTTAATACTTATAAACAGAGGTTACTTGGCATTGTTGTTACATCGTTGTAAGAAAAAGAAAATTAGCCAATTTATCGTGATTTCTTTTCGCGAGACGAAAAGATCAATGAAAGTATTGAAAATAGAGCTTGATTTCTGAGCTTTATCTGTAAATATATATACATATAAGTATTTGTACTTATGTAAATGGCTGGAAACGCGATAAACCAGTCGTATCACGTAAAAAATTGTTTTATTTAAATTATCGTGTTAACTATATTAGATGATATATGGATGTGTTTGAAATTTTCTAATGAAAGAGTACTGTATTTAAAGGAAGCGGTACTGCACTATTACATGCTCTCAAATGATAAGGAAAATAAAAATGGAGCTGGTTCTATCACAGTTGTACTTATAAATTATTTACAAGGTAAGCTTTTGTATTTTTGACGTGCCTTACTGACATTTGCTAATATCATCATTAATTATCATTGTAGTAACAGGATTTCAGACATTTTCGATTCTTTCCACTCTTCTTCAACAGCCCACATTTATGTATACAAATAGGTATTATTATTATTACGCAACATATGCACATGATACCTATGTAGATTGATAAGAAATTAAAAAATATTTGTCAGTTAATATCAGAGATTGTAGAAGTATACCAAAAAAAAGAAAGAAGTGCGTGACGAAGATTCTTGGTCTCAATATTTTCGAATGTGCTATGTTTGATTATCTGTCACCCAAAAGCCTAATGAGCGGCTTTTTATTAAAATTTCCTTGAAAATAGTGGCTGCAACGAGCAACTCGGATCATAGTCGAATGAAACATGGTCTTTTGTGTTTTGTCATTAGCCATATAGTAAATAGAGTACTTATCGTAAGTCTCGCGCTAACAAAATTTAGTGCATCAGTATAATTTCTGTAAGTAATTATTTACATAAGTGGGTTTTTGTTCATTAAAAATGAGTAGCTTACGACTTTTGATTATTTAAGGGGATAAACGTGAGAGGGAAATATTAATTTGGTTCTCGATTTATAAAACGTTTTTCTTTTTTATCATCATATGAAACATCATATAGTATATACGTTTGTACAGGTACATTAAGGTATAGCTTACTATAATTACAATAATTACATAGGACTGAATACATGGATCGTAAATCCCAAGGTGTTCAACATTTACCATTCTTTTGCGATTTAGCGGCAACCAATGTATTTCTCATGAGCATGGCCACGGTCATTGGTCCAACACCACCAGGAACTGGTGTTATGTAGCCAGCAACGTTCTTAACTGATTCATAATCTACATCACCAACTAGCTTGTACTTTTCATGGCCAACCTTGACTCTGGTGATTCCGACATCGATGACGCAAGCTCCCGGCTTTATCATTTCTTTGGTTACCAAACCAGGGACCCCTGCTGATACCACAATGATATCTGCAAGCTTTGTATACCTCTCGAGCTCAGCACGCGGCGTAAATCTGTGGCAAACTGTTGTCGTCATGTCAAGTCCCGGCAATTCATCTGCAAAACATTTTTCAAACGATACTCATTAGATAGGTAGATATTTGATTTTTCAATCTAATAAATACTTTTACCCACCATTTCCATCCGAGTGCAGCAATAAAGCAATTGGCAAACCAACATGCTTTGACCTTCCAATGACTACAGCATTTTTGCCAAAAGTTGGTATCTTAGATCTCACGATTAATTCTTTCACTCCCAGTGCAGTTGCAGGTATGATTCCTCTACTGTTAAGAGCTAGCCTTCCAATGTTGTTCAAGTGAAAACCATCAACGTCCTTTGAAGGTGTGACAGCATGGCAAACTTCTTTTTCACTTATGTGAGCAGGAACAGGCAATTGCACCAGTATACCATCCACTTGGGGATCTTGGTTTAGTTCTTGAATACTTTTCAACAAATCTGCTTGGCATATATTAGTCGTGAAATGCAAGGTTTCACTGTCAATGCCGACTTTCTTGGCAGCCATCATTTTCCTCCCAACGTATGCTTGGCTGGCAGGATTTTCCCCAACCAGTATGGCAATTAATTTCGGCCTTCTTTCACCAGCACCGATCCACACGTCAACATCGTACTTTACCTCTTGCAACACTTGATCTGCTATGCTTTTGCCATCAATGACAATAGCTTCGCACCTTTAATAAAATTACAAATTGCTTTAGTAAATTACTTCATGTACTAGCTAAAAAATTTTATTCAATAAAAATATAATTACACTGACCTAGAACCGTGCAATCCTCTCGACCAAAAGCCAAAAACTGGTCTCAAAAATTTTGCAACCGACATGATGAACTTGTGGAAGAAAAACGACATAATAAGTACACAAAATCACTTTGGACCAAAATTCAGCCCAATTCGATTGTTGTCATCCAAAGAAACTTTTATTGGTTCAAGTATCCCCCCAAAAACACCTGTTTTTGTTAACAATGTAAAAATAAGGCAAGAGCGTTATAACCTCTTGGACTTGAATAACCGAAAATTATCCAGCAACAGCTCCACTTGGAAAATAACGCAAACGACGCGTTTGCCTTTGGAGTTCGCACGAAAATAAATCAAACTCTCGGGGTTGACTTATTCTCATGGTTGCAGCGACAACGATCGCGCCCATGATGAAATTACGCTTTATCTTCTTCACTTTTAAATATAAGTGCGCGAAAATATTATTATCTTCTGGTGATGCGTCGTGCAACGAAGTAACGACTCGTGCGTCTTTCCCGATAAGACGTCGGGTTTTGTTGGCGGGTGGTCTTCCCTTTCGTCAGCAGGTGGTATGTACATAAATATATACTTATAAGAATAATCTCTTTGAAAACATGAAACACATACCGATAAGTACACTTATTTAAAAAACTGATTCTTTTTTTCACTAAGTTGAATAAAGACTTATTTTTCTTTTGATACAAAAAAAAAGTTGATAAATCCTTCATAAAAATAATAGAAAACTCCGCGTTTTTCATTTATTTCTCCAAGTATAATTTGTCTCATCATATTTTTAAAATAATATTTATAAAAATCTCCTGATGTACTTGATGTATACCATTGATTCAGTATTGAAGTTTTTAATTGGGTACCTGATAAACAAAGGGTAACTATTTTAAAAAAGGTTAACTTAAATGATAATCATGCCATGTAAAAGTGTAAAAATACCTAGTGTGTGAGGTAAGTACAAAATTCGTGCGGTACATATATGGTATAGAGTCACCAATCAACCGATTTTCCGCGCCTACCATGTAGCCAACACCATGTCGTGAAAGCTTCGATGACGACTCTTATAATCACAGAACGTGTTAAAATGACCAAAAAAAGAGCGTAGTTTTTTTGTAAATCATTACTGTTTTATTGGTTTTAAAAATATCCTGCACGTATTATACATGACTTTGTACAACAATATTCTTCCCCGCAATCACGTTAAATTTACATCGCTTCTTGTAATTTCCCCTAAAGTCTCTCACCGCCAACATTTTTAACTTACCGCTAAATCATACGTCTATACACACATAGTAAGTCAGATGAAAGTTTTTTTTTGTTTTTAAACTCATCGTCAACATTTACTCATATTTATACCTGTACTCGTTAAAATTTACTGCAACTGCGTATCACGCGTAATCGTAATACACACACAAAATGCCGTGTCATAATATATTATTGCACAAAACGACGTGTGTCCCATCATATGCACGATCACCACAGACGGTACTTACATGTACATTTATATATATACTTTATTTTTGTATATCAATCCCCACTTTTGTAAAAAATATGTAAACAACGAACAAAGGGCGCGCGCGGCAATCATATAAGTATGACACACATGTACCCTAAACACACACGTGAGATTAGCGCTGCTGCAGATGAGCCCGATATCACGCGACGTGCGAGTAGGACAAGTCGAGCTTGGTCCGTTTGGGAGCCGTAGGTAATTTGTGCGCCAAAGCCGGCAGAGTCAACTCCTGATGCCTGATGCCTCCTCCTCCCCCAGCCCCGCGAGCCTGCACAGTTTGACTATTCGGCTCGAAGGCCGAGGGCAAGAGACCCTTGTGTTGCTCGAGCTGGTAAGTGCAGGCTTTAACCGGCGACGGAGCCACGAAACAAAGGTCCCGCGGCCGCGACAAGTGCTGGGCCATCCTCTGGTGCTGCTGGTGGAGCTGTTTGCTCCGGTGGGACGCGGCTGCTGGCGGGTCGAGCGCGGCGGCTGGCCTATCCAGGTTCACCGACGACTCCCGTACGAGCCTCACGTGCCACCTGCAACCATGAGCATCGGTACCTTGGTGGTTGTCGATACGAGCCGAACAAAAGGAAGGAGAGTGGGCCGACTCACCTGGGAGCACCGCTGGACAGCCTCGGGGGCTCGTCGAGCGACAGCACGCTGAACCTCCTGTCGTCGCCTGGTCTTGTGGACGTAGCAGCGCCGCGGCCCTGTAGCAGCGGGTTGTCCTCGGTCTCGCGGGCCACGTGCTCCCTGAGCTCGGCCAGGAACTTGTCCGCGAAGCCGTCCTGCATGAAGAAGGGGTGCTGCAGCAGTTGGGCGCAGCTGGGCCGCGTGTCCGGGTCCATGCGCAGGCACTGCGAGAGAAAGTCGAGGCCGGCCGAGCTCGAGCCGGGGAGCAGGGCGCGCAAGGAGCGCAAACCACCGGCGCTCGTGTTGTCGGCGCTCGCTCTGTACGTTGAGGTTCGGTTGACGCTCGTGCCATTGTTGTTTCGGCTCATCAGGGCCTGGTGCCGGCTGCACAGGCCACCTGTATTTTATCGGCAAATTATGTAGCAGAACCACCTCTCTTACGAGACTATATATACATATAATCATCTTGCACCATAATATGTACCTATTAGTTTATATGTCGGATAACCATTTATATATTTATTCATCGCCAATAAATAAACCTTCGTAATGTGAACTCGGTGTTTGGTTATAAGTGTACTTTAATGTGCGCTGTATTTATTATAAAGTCGGAAAACGTTAATTGGGAATCTCGGCACGAGACAAGTAATACACGAATTGAGTACATTGTGCACTGGATTTGGGCATGGGAAGGCTTCATCGTTACGTAACTATTGCCCAAAGCATCGGATGGTTAATGGTAATTTTTGAGAAAAAAAAAACCTTGCATTAACATGATACAATTGAGTATCCCGTACATGCAGGTATACCGTATTTACCAAGCAAACGCGTGATGCGAAAGAGCTGGTCGATGTCGCTGTCCCCGGGAAAGAGCGGCTCGCCGCTGAGCATCTCGGCGTGGAGGCAGCCAACGGCCCACGTGTCTATGGCCTTGCCGTAGCGCGAGTCACCGACGAGGAGCTCCGGCGCCCGGTACCACCGAGTCGCCACGTAATCGGTGCAAGAGTCGTGGGGCCCGCCAACTATGCGAGCAAACCCAAAGTCGCACAGCTTTATCACCCCCCGGCTCGACACCAGGACGTTTTCTGGCTTCACGTCGCGGTGCATAATCTAGTTTTTTTTTTTTTTTTTTTTTTTTTGTATGGAAAAACAAAAACAATTATTTACAATTGATGTTTATATAGAGAAACGAAACCAACAGTAAAAGCTGTTTTAAAAAAAAAAAAAAACTATACTTCGAAGGATAACTGTGCAGGATTGATGATGACGCGAAATACGGTGCCATTAATTCAATATGCGTGCACTTATCACTCGCTCATGCAAATTAAAGCCTTATAACCTTCTAACGCATACAGAAGTAGTTCAATAATAAAAAAAGGGAAATAAAGGGAGTTTGAAAATAAAATAAATTAAAAAAGCATACAGCTGTCGCTCACTTGGTGGCTGTGGCAAAAGTTGAGTCCGCGCAGCACTTGGAAGATGTATCGTCGCGAAGTGTCGGGCCTAAGACCGCCACCAATGTCCTCGAGCTCGTCGAGAATCGTGTGGTCGAGGTACTCGAACACGAGGTAGAAACGCTTTTTCCGCCTAAACACCTCGATCAAACTCACGAGGTTCTCGTGCCTTAGCCTCTGAAATTGACAATTGTTAACTCGACAAACATATATTTATGTCTATGTATTTTATTTACCCATCGTTCAAGTGCAAAGTATATACATGTATATTGCACACCTTAAGCAAGCGAATTTCTCGAAACGCGAGTTTTCGAACGGACACGTTTTCCACGGACTCGAGGAATTTTTTGATGGCCACTATCTGACCGGTTTCCTTGTGCCGGCACTTCATCACGACGCCGTAGCTTCCCTCGCCGACCACCTCGATGTTCTCGTATTTCTCCATGATCCTCGCGCTCCGGGCTTTTCCTACGTTTCGGTTGTTTTATTCTTCAATTGCTGCAAGATTAACCATACCGTCCCACATTGTTTGAAAAATATATAATAGGTTAATTGTTTGACAAATATACACTCTATGAATTTGAATTTCGGAAAATGTCACTATTTGCGATTTTCATTGGTGAAATGCTGAAAAATTAGGATAATTTATTCGCGCCCAGTTGATGTAAATTTTAATTCTAAATATTTATCAGTAATTCAACGAACCATCTTCATCCAAATGAGAATAATTGTACAACCCATACAACCTACACATTATTTCAAGTGGTACCAACAATCAGTCATTTAAATTCACATAGTGAGACCTTAACTTGGTACGAATAGTGAATATTTACTGTTTCGCAGTAAAATCCAGTATTTAACAATGAATATTCACTAGTTCAAATAATTTATAAATATATACAACTTATTGTCATAGTGAAATCGACTGTTTCGCTGCTAAAATAGTGTATATTCACTAATTTACAGTGTGTATGCATATTATTTTGAAAAAGTTGTATACTAATCACTATTTCGAATTTAGAGAGTATATAATATATGTAATATAATTTGAAGAAGTTTTATGTGTGCGTGATTTTTTTAAGCCACAAAGTAAAAAAAAAGTAATTTGGACAAAAGCACGTTTCAATTAAAATTTTGTTGCTGACGAAGGGAACAAGGAAGGAAGCATTTATGCTGAAGTAAAAAAATTGAAACGAGTTTTAGATCAAGGACAATTTTTCATCACCGCATTTGTATGTGTTTTTCAAAAAAATTTTGTTCAAATTTGACAAAGACATGACTGATGTACAAAGTGCGTCCACCAAATAGAAAATTTATGGAACGTTAATGAGGCCCAATTTTGGGATCTCATGAAAAATGAAAAAAAATGAAAAAATGAAAGACTTGCTGCAAGAGTTGATTAAAATATTACAGGGCATCAAAAAAATATGAAATTTTAGTTCAGGAAACAAGAGTCCAACGACTGCAGCACGGGTTTGGACATAAAAATACTTATTTTAACTCTCTCTAAAATGAGAATTGACTCAGCTATTTGAAAATAGGCACGCTCCGACACGTGTGATTAGTTGCTAACGTATTAGGAGGGTGTTTATTAATTTATGATTTAAATTGGCCTCAGCCCCCTCATTAGACTTTTCTTTTTTTATTCCACCAGAGGTTCAAAGTCGTACTGCTGAGTTTTCCTTTCCTCAACAATAAACCATGTGAGATGAACCTAGACCTAAGCGAATAATAATAATTTTCACAAAATTCGCTCAAGACTTGAGAATAATCTGCTCAAAGAACATTATTTACTCCTTTGATTTTTTTGAGGTACTCGCAAAAAATTCAAATTAAATGCGGCCTTTCCGAATTAAACATGCTGCCATTGAAAACTTCTCACGACAGTTGGTCGATCTTCGCCAAACGGCGAATCCTTTAATGCACATTTTAATGTAGAGCTATATACATATTTTTAAAAAAATTAACGTACGACCCTTTGGCGTTACTATAAAAACAATTGCGATAATATGTCTACCTTTACTGTAAGTAAATGCTTATCTGTACGATGCGCGTGTAAGTACGGGTACACACGTATCAGCTCACAATGTTATAATAAACATAATGAATCAATACAGTAGGTGACGATAGAAAAAATGTTCTACTTTCGCTTATCTTGATCGCTTATCTTGATCCTTTTTTGAAAAACATAATTATATCTACCACTGAATCTTGTTATTTATTTATTTTTTTTTTTTTCCATTAGTAGGCGCTACTTTTATTCTGTGGCTCAGGTAAAATACATATCACAATGTAAACTCGATTGAACTTCTATACTTCCGTGAGTTCTTAACTATAAGATATACACAGTACGCTAAGTGAAGTTTGTTCACTTGTCTGACGCATATTGTCCGTTACAGACTGCTTATACGCTCTCGTATTCAAATTCAAAAGCAATTTGTTCGATTCTTCAAAAAAATGCTGGTGAAATACGGGGTGCTGTTGTGTTTGCTCCACACCCCGACGTTGGCCCTAGAAGAGAACCTCAGCTTCCAATTCGAGTGGCAACGGATTTACTACGCTTTTCCCACTGGAGAGACAAACGGGTACCCGACCAAGGGCACGTCCTACCGCTACGTCACCAACAACCTGCAAAGCTTCAGATTTTGGAAGAACAACGCGTACCTGTCCATGTCCCGCCGCTGGAAGGGCTACATGCCCATGACTTTGGGGGTCATTTACTCCCCAGCCAAGGGCAACAAGTTCCTCGAGCCGTACCCCGATTGGAGGGCGCAAAAGTTCGGCGGCGACTGCTCGGGTCTTCAATCCGTCATCAGCATGGAAGTGGACCCCATGGGCAGGATGTGGGTACTGGACAGCGGCAGCATGAACGAGACGACCAATACGGTCCAGTGTCCCGCCCGATTGGTCATCCTCGACCTCGACGACGGCGGCAAGGTGCTCCAGAACTACGCGTTCCCCACCGAGGTGGCCAGCCCCGCGACCTGCTCAACGACATCGTCCTGGACCACGAGGACGGCGGCTTCGCCTACATAAGCGCCTACGGGCTCTTCATGCCCAAGCCGTGCATAGTCGTCTTCTCCCTGCGGAGGCTCACCTCGTGGAGGGCCATTTCGAAGCACGTGGTCCGCGACCTGGCCCTGTCGCCGGCGGACACCGAAGGAGGCGGTCGGAAGCTCTACTACATGACCCACGGTCCCCGCTTGGTGCACGAGGTAGCCACGCGCGTCCTCAAAAGCGAGAACTCGAGCCTCGCTCGGGAGAGCAGGAACGTCACCAACACGGTGGATGGCTGGACGGAGATGGCCGTGTCCAACACCGGCCGCATGTTCCTCATAGCGGAGAACCGCGAGGTCCACGAGTGGGACATGAACCGTTCGTACCACACGATGGCCGTGTGGGACACGAGGAGGCCGGACCATTCGTACCCCACGTTGAGTGGACTGACCTTCGACGGTAGGGGTCGCGTCTGGCTCGTGAGTGTCTTGGAGTCGAAGGTTCAAGCTTACGTGCTTCGGACCGGGAGGATGCGGAATTATCAGTACCGGGGGAACGGTGGTGTGCCGAGTTGGCCTCGTATCGCTGCTCCGTCGTATACCGCATAAGAAGATGTGCGGACATGCGGGATGTCGGGTCAAACGGAGAATATCGAAGAAAGCGATTTGTTGAAAAAAAACTATTGAGAGCGGCTAATGATTATGATTACTTTTTATACTGACAATTGATCATTTGATAAAATATATTATTTGATTGCTTAATAAAGGTGCTTGGCTATTTATTTCAACCGATGAGATTTTTCATGAAATTGTTTAAATTTAAGTTGTACCGTCATCATTATTTCTTTTGGTCTTGTATTTTGTATAGGGCCGGGGCCGCCGGGGGGTGGGGTCGAGTTATAAGTATTTAATGTTCCATCGTTCCTATCATCTATGGTACAGCTGTGCATTTTTGCACTGTTGTATGAATAAATAACAAGAGTTTTTTTATCTGTTCCTCGTAACCGTTCCAGAGTTAAACATTTAAGGACCGAAGCATTTATACTTGATTCGAAGTAATACTTTGTTCAATCAACAATAACGTTGTTTCTTGCATCATATCTTTGAAATTAATGTTATGTCGTGACATGCCGTCTAGACAAACTCAGTGCATTATTTCAGTGCACCAGTACGTATAGGTCAATATTTCTTAAAAATGTGTTAAAATTTGTAATACCTTTTTTTTAAGAAAAACAATTTGCAACGTAGAAGGAAAACAATTTTTTTTTTTTAATAAGTGGGAAAATTATATGCAAAACATACGTATTGCATGTAAGGCACGGCCAATTTTGTGCTTTGACAGATCAAAATGTGTTATTTAAACTACAGGATTTTATCTGTTGACAATTTTTTTTTTTTTTTTTTAATTTAATATCGCATCCAAACTCATTTTATGTTCATATTTATATATATTGTTAGCAAATGGTAAATAAAAAAGTTACATACTATATAACTACATGATTCAAAAGCGGTTCACGTTGAGCTATGAAAAATCAAAGTAAAATTACGAACCTGTAACTTTTTTGTCCAATAAACGTGAAAATAGGTATGGCTTACCGGAAATAGTCTAGAATGAATTCGGCTCTTAAAGACTTCCATTACAATAGCGAATTTCTCCTCCTTGTTGATCGTCTTCTTTAACAAAAAAAAAAAAAAAATTAGCTGCCTTGCGTTGTATGGCTAGAGATGTTTTTTAATGGTCAAAAAATAATTGAATAATTCTGACAACAATAATCATAGGAAATTCAATTTTCCTCATTGATATAAAAAAGTTGTTTGTATCTCAAAAAACTAGCTCCTAACCAACCGTCTGCAAGTGTGCTTCTTTACTATCTTGCTCCGTAGTTTCTTTCTTTTATCNACATATTAAAAAAGCTCTGCTTGAGATGCTGATGAAGCGTGCAATGCCACACATATATTATAATAACGTGTTCGCGTGTTTTTTTTTTTTTTTTTTGTTTGCTTTGTACATCCCGTGTGCGGAGTATATAGCTTTTGTTTTCCATTTTCATTGTTTCAATTTTCAATGGTCCCCTCATGCATGCACGGTTTTAAAAAACCTTACCGGAAATAGTCTAGAATGAATTCGGCTCTTAAAGACTTCCATTACAATAGCGAATTTCTCCTCCTTGTTGATCGTCTTCTTTAAAAAAAAAAAAAAAAAAAACAAACCACTTGTATACCATGTATATCATTTATTTGAATGGAAAACTCTTTTATGATGTACCATTTTTACGTATGGACTGCAGTTTGAAAAATTTCATTGTACAAACAAACAAAATGGACAAACCGCGCGAACCGTAACAACGTTTTTTCCAAAAACAATTTTATTTTTAACTGCAGTGAAAAAAAAAGAAGAAAAAATAAAAAGAGTTTCTCAACGAAAAGAAAATAGATAAAAAAAAAAAAAAAAAACTTTATCCATCAACAGAACGAAGAGAGCGAAGCGGCAAAAAAAGGACATTCAA